TTATTAAATAATTCAGTTAACACTGGGAATAAAAAGTAGAAGTGAAGAAATGAAAACAGTCTTGTTTAAAAAATTCCACTAAACTCTTATTTTTCTCACAGTGAGTTCGCCCATGGACGAAGTGCTGGCGTCTCTGAAACGAGGGAGTTTCCACCTGAAGAAAGCCGAGCTGCGGGTCCTGGGCCCCGACCCGGACGACGAAAGCAACAACATCCTGGCTCAGATCCGACAGGGCGTTCGTCTGAAGAAGGTCCGTACCCGTCCGGAGCAACAGCGCCACCTAAAGAGTTTCCCGCACTCAGCTGACGCTCTGACTCGCAGCATCCACGAGGCCCTGAGGAGAATCAAAGAGGCTTCGCCAGAGTCTGAGTCTGAGGACGAAGGCCTTCCCTGCGCCGACTGGGAGAACTAGGAAATGGGCAAATCTGAGAGGAAACGACGACCTGAGTCCAGCAGGGTCACATGAGGACACCTTGGTGCAATTTGAACAAAAACAAACATTTTTTAATATCAGCAGACATTTGTTTTCATACTTGTGTTTGTAAAACCAGACCACAGAACTTCTTCGTTACTGTTCTCTCTGTGAGGAAAGCACCTCTGACCTCTCGTTACGTCGGAGTCGTACTGTAGCTTTCTGTGATGGGTGTGTTTTAGGCAGCACACGTTTGGTTCCTCTCAGATACGTCACAACAAGCGTTTACACCGCAGAATTCACCACCCCTCTTCTTACAGGAACAGCTTTGGACAAATAATTCAGATCAGTTTTTACTTTTCTAAACTGGTGCATTTAGAATAAAATATGGGATAAAAAGGACATCAGCTCAGTTCTAAACTTTAAAATATACAGTTAATCCACAACCTCACTCTGACTTAAAGCCTTTTAAACTGGGATTAAACCCATCAGTGATCTTTGTCTCTATTGTTTACCTGCTGCTCTCACAGGGTCACCAATCTAATGTGGTTCATGTTTAATTATCACCTGCTGCTATGAGGTGATGCTGTTGTTCACCATGTGTGAAAAAGTTAAAAATCTCATGAACTTAATCCTTTGATAAACATCACCCTCATTCAAGATGGCCGCCATGACAAATTGACCTTAAATACAAAAATGGATGTAATTAGGAGTTAAGATTTGGTGAGGTTCTAGCCGAGAGTCGTTCACAAACCAAAGTGAGTGCTGCTCATCGCACATGATCTGTAATGTTAACTGTTAGCATGTTAGCAAAATATCTCATGAACCAGTGGCCATATTTTAACAGCATTTTCAGGAAGTAATCAAAGGATGTTCCTATATAACTTAGTAACTTTTAGTGTAAAATATTCAAAATGGCTACCCCTGTCAATCAACTTTAGCCAACACAACAGTGGCTATAATTGAGTCAGTTTTACATATACGATGTAATATTAGCTGAGGGTCATCCCTAAAGGCTCCTACATACTCGGGTGTACTTTGCTCCGCGGGGGTCCGCGCGGACTCAAGGCGGACTCAATGCGGACTCAATGCGGACCCAAAGCGGCAGTCTGCCAGATTGATCCGCGCAGAGATCAATTTTTTACGTCCACGTCCGCAGTGTCGCACAATAAACTGCCTGGCGTGTACTGTTTTGGATGCAACACCAAGCTGATAAAGTTGAGAATTGGTGTCATTTATGGACGAAATGCAGTCAAATTTTGAGAGCGTCTCATGGAGGAAATTAGAAAACTTTATAATGCGTCAATGAAAGGAGGACTTTGAGCGAGCAACAAATTCATGAGCAGAAGTAGCTCCGATTCTGGGTAAGGTAGTTCTTTTCTTTTTTTCTTTCCCTTTTGTTGTTTTAAAGGAGACCAATGATGGGTCGTAGAAATGTTTATGGTATGTCTGTGGGCTATCCAGACCATGTTCATTCAATTTAATGCACAAAATAATTCTCAGATAATAAAATTTCCCATTTTCTAGTTCTGCTGCTCTGACTTCTGTTCAGAAGAGCTGTTTATGTTAATGAGCTCTGTTGGTAACGCCCTCCAAAAATCTGTTGACATTAACTCCGCCCTCCAAAGCCAGCGTTTACGTTAGTAATAGCAGAAGCTCCGTTGTACAACCGTATATATACATGAGACCCTGAGTCAGACCCGCAGCTTTTTTCTCCCCCTCCTCCTGTGTCAGAGCTCTGCGCTCACTCTGCATGCTGTTACCAGGGCAGGTAATGGGAGCAGCAGCGGTCAAAATACCTCAGAAACTCAAACAAATAGGCTAAAGCTAAACAGTAGAGGTACATGAGAAAACGTGTTCATAACAAAAGAAAATAAATAATTAAAATGTTTGCGTCTATGTCCGTCTTGAACCCTGGTCTCCTGCTCTCTGGTCTAACACTCTACCCATTACCCTATTGGAGGCTTGTTGTGAATTGAGCTGCACCTTACACAACAACAACCGTGACGGCTTTTTATACTGAGGAGGTGGAGCCTCACCTGGGGGTTTCTAGGTGAGGGGCTGAACGCAGGTTCCAGTGGGTTGTCGTACGGCAGGGGTGCCCAACCTTTTTTGAACCAAGAGCTACTTTTGAAGTCGTCAGTTTGCCGAGAGCTACTCATCCAGTCTCAGTATCAGAAAAACATAATTTTGTCTCCCTACTCCTCACTTCTTTAAAGTAAATAAAACAGAACGTAATGTGTTGCTAGTTTTATTTAATTTAAAGTATTGTCAAACAAAACTATCTACTTAACCATATATTTACCTACAAAAAAAGAAAAGATAAAATCCTTACTTAACTCCTGACAGAGAAACAGAAAAGTGATGCTCGAACAAAAAGGATCAATTTTTTTAAATCTCCCTTAATTAGTACTCATTGTAAGGTGTGAGCTATGAGGGCTGGAAACCTGCACACTGAGAACCACAGAGTCAAATAACTTTGGAGCACGGGAACTCGTCTCCATTTATTCAAAGAACTCTCCTGTCTTCTCTCCATACAGGGGAGGAAAAACAAAACAAAACTCTATCAATCAGGGTCAACATGGCTACCACAAGAGTACCGCCCTTTTTTTCAAAGTCAATGCACACAATATAAAACTCTCTCACAGGCTGTCATAAAACCCGGTGCTGAGCTTCCAGGACCGGTTTCACCTGATCAGATCTGTTCCTTTTATTGCCTGGAACAGATCCATCAGGTGGGTTTCATAATTTCATGCATTATTGCAGAAATATTGCCCGGGGGCTGTTTTGAGGCAGGCGGCCATAAAACCCGGTGCTGAGCTTCCAGGACCGGTTTCACCTGACCAAATCTGTTCCTTTTATTGCCTGGAACAGATCCATCTGGTGGGTTTCTGAATTTTATGCATTTTTGCAGAAATATCGCCCGCCAGTGGTTTCTGGCTGAATCCAGGCGGGAGAGCGGGTGCTGGACGCATGACTGCAGTTCCACCTCACTGGATCTCTTCCTTCCTCTCTTCCTCTTCCTTTGCACCCGGATCCGATCCTCAGAGCCTGTGGGAGAAGCAAACGAAGGTTGAAATTTCCTCCCAAAAATGCGCATAAAATGCACTAAGTCGTGCGTAATTTGCTTATAGCTCCGCGGGGGAATGTCATAGAGACTCCATTCAAGTATCAGCTTGTAGGACAGAACCAGAGCTTTAAAACCTGACCAGCCACGCCAGGATCCGACACTCCTGGCCCGGGAGGGGGGCTAAAACCACCCCGGCGGGAGGTCCGACGGTGCGTAATTTGGAGGTTTTTTGCTTATAGCTCCGTGGGGGAATGTCACAGGGTTTTCATTCAACCTTGTAGGGCAGAAGCAGAGCTGTAAAACAAGACCAGCCACTCTGGGATCTGATGCTCAGAGCTGGCGCTTAGAGGCTCCTCAGCAAGGTTGCGCTTCACGGGCACCTGGGAACCAGCTGGCGGGCGACCAGTCGCCTGCGAGGGACTGGTTGGGCACCCCTGTCGTACGGCTTGTGACATCACAAAATGTAGGAAGTATAAAACTTGTCATTAATATACATTAAAAATACATTTACTTACAGTAAATACGCCCCTGGGTGAATTTTTTGCCCTAAGACTGTTTTTTTAAGAAGTAAATATCCAAAGATGAGTAAAAAAAACTTTAAAACGTGAATTTTGCATAATAGCTCTCCTTTAAAGCTAAAATGCAAAATGTCTCTTCCTCCTCATCCTTGACATCATGACTGAAATTGCGAGAAATTAAAGAATTTCTGGGTAGAGTTTGCATGTTCTCTCCGTGCATGCGTGGGTTCTCTCCGGGTACTCCGGCTTCCTCCCACAGACCAAAAACATGACTGTTAGGTTAACTGATAACTCTAAATTGTCCCTAGGTGTGAGTGAGAGAGTGAATGGTTGTTTGTCTCGTTTGTCTCTATGTGTGGCCCTGTGATGGACTGAGACCTGTCCAGGGTGTACCCTGCTCCTCGCACTGTGACTGCTGGATATGGGCACCAGTGACCCACGCAACCCTGAAAAGGAAGAAGCGTGTACAGAAAATGGATGGATGGATGGATAAAGAATTTGTCAGGGGGTCAGTACGCTCGAGTATGAACTGTCAAACATCCGCGCGACTCTTGGACCGCACACAGGACGCCCGAGTATGTGGGAGCCTTAACACACACTCTGAGCCTGACATCATCATACATGTTAGGTTATACCAATTGTTTTTAAATTATACCAATTTCCCCACCATTTTGCAGGTATACAGACGTGTAGAGAAAACTCGTGGATTTTTTTTTATTTTTTCAAAAATTCAGCTTCAAATTTATGTTACGCCTCCAAGCCTGTGGAACAAAAACAAAACAATAAATGAAGTTGAATCTCCCAACCTGCTCTGTATCGTATCGGATCTCTCCCATTAGTTTCAAGGCTTGAACAAATCTGCTTTAATGGTTTTAAATTGAAACTCTGGAGTGTAATGCAGTGGGTGAAATGCAAGCTTTAAAGGGCCAATATTATGTGTTTCTCAGGCGTATATTTAAATACTATACCATAATAAAGTAT